TAGTTAAAGGAAAATGTTATTTTACCTGACACACCATTAATATGCCTCTTGAAAAAAGACTAATGGATGAACTAGGTGCATGGCGTACCATCGTTAACATTTTGCTTAATGGAAATTATATAAATTTGTGTCTTATTAAAATACTGATAGAGAATAAATGTAGGATGTGCTTAACTTTAATATATATTTTCCTTAACCTTTTAGGTAACTAAATGTATTGATAAGACAATTCTTAATTATCCAGCCCTCTGAAGTTGGCCAGTTTGAATTCCCCAGGACTGCTCACCTACGTTTTCTCTATTTAGGTTTCAGTTTCCTTAGAGACGGTTCATTGTTGATATCGCTTGGATTCTAGTACTGGTTCCTGTTACTTCCTGTTCCTGTCCCCACCTTAGGAGTTTTTACCTGTCCTTGCTCATCTACCACCCACTTGGTGATCATAGTCTTTAGTGTGGGCATCTTTACCTTCTAGACACTTCTACTTTGAATTCCAACAGTCATCTCAAGATCACAAAGCCCTGAGATATCTTCCACTACAAAACTTGGTGGTTTCCAGTCAGATGCTGCTTTCTACAGAGTTCTGCAGCCCACAGTCATAGGGTCTTGGTAATCCTTTCTCCTCCCCTGTTGTCTCTACTCAGTCCTGAATCCAGACTAACACTTTTTTTTTTTTTTAATTTCATCTGTGTTTTCATGTCTTCTCTGGAGTCCTTTGAGTTCAGACCCACATTTTGGTGACTGGCTTTCCTGTCAATAATCTTTCCCCAGTCTGATTATATTACTGTTATGATAATTTATTTTTCTAAAATGTAGGTATGACTAAGATTTCTTATATTTAAAGATAAAAATTAAATTATAATGATGATATAAAAATATACTTTAGTTTTCAAAGCATAGCTTTTTGCATGAAACAGATTTTCATATAAAATAGATTTGCAAGTGATTTTTCTCAGGCCTTTTGCTGGAATATAATACGTATATAGTTTATTGCTATCACTAACAAGCCCATTCCCTAGTCCTTCATTATCTTTTTTGGAGCACTTTTTAAAAATTGCACGTTATCTTTGTTACTATATCTCTCAGAATCTTTTCAACCTTAAATATCTATGACTCTAGGGTCATATCATCTTACTACTTTTATGCTGAGTTTACACAATATAGATTGTGTGAAATATTTTTTTTTAAGATTTATTATGTATACAGTGTTCTGCCTGCTTGTACACCTGCAGGCCAGAAGAGGGCACCAGATTTCATTATAGATGGTTGTGAGCCACCATGTGGTTGCTGGGAATTGAACTCATGACCTCTGGAAGAGCAGTCTGTGCTCTTAACCTCTGAGCCAACTCTCCAGCCCTGTGTGAAATATTTTTATGGAGAAAAATTTCTATTTTTAGGGGCACTTTGAGGGCTGCTCCTTTCTGAGTCCAAGACAAAATGCAAACTACAAAGAAAATCTGGCCCAGGTGGGTCAGGAAAATCGAGTTGATCTCCATGAGAAGTAAACGGCATTTGACACTTTAGCTTGAGCAGTGAGTTGTCCTTGTCCAATGGGTTAGCTCTGGTTGTGGGACACAATAGAAAGGAATATTGTTAGGGAGGAGAGCCTAGAGTCACTTGTGTTGGGGTCATGGGTTGTGCAAATAATGAAGAAGGACCACTGAAGTCAGAAATAAATCAAAAGCAACTTTATTCACTGCAGTGGGGGTGGGGGTAGGGATATTATGGGGGTGCTTCTAACCTGTTAAGGTTGCAGTCAGGCTTGAGAGCTGACAACAATGTTGAAGGGCAGGAACAGTCTCCTTTTAAGCATAATCCCACAGCAGATGTTCAGGGGATAATAAAGAAAGATTTGTAAATTGAGGGTTAGTTCTTGAGCCCAGGGTGTGGTGGCTAGCAAGATATTGATACAGGTGTAAGTTGTTCTAAGCAGTGGTCTTCTTAAGAAAGTATTTAACTGGGGACTTGCTTAAAGCTTTAGAGATTTAGTTTATTATCGTGATAGTGGTGACCATGGTGGCATGCAGGCAGGTGCTGGAACAGTAAGTAGCTAAGAGCTACATCCCTAGCAGTAGGCAGGGAAGAAGAAAGAACTAGGCACTGCATGGGCTTTTGAAACCTCAAAGCCCATCCGAAGTGACACATGTCCTCCACAAGGCCACGCCTCCTAATCCTTGTAATCCTTTCAAATAGTGTCACTCCCTGGTGACCAAGCATTCAAATACCAGAGCCTGTGGGGGCCATTCTTATTCACCCTCAACAGCCTGGCTAGCCTGCTGTTTGGAGTGTTACTTATTGGGGAAGTGTGCCACTGACCTGGACTGAGGACCTGGAGCTGCTATTATTGCAAGGCCACTAATTTGTAAACCTCTTTTTTTTTTTTTCTAATCTTGTTCCAGGTCCTCTGGAATGTTCTGCTGGACTGCTAGTTCAGCCAGCCTGTAACCTTCTCATTTGTGTTTCTATCTTGTCCTTCCTCTCCTTTGTTTTCTTTTAAAGGTCTCACACTATATAGGCCAGAGTAACCTTGAGATCACCATATTCTTCCCAATTCAGACTCCCCTAGGTGCTGGGATTATAGGTGTGAGCTCAACTATCTTTTGACTTTTGTTTTTTGGTGAGCCTGCTGGTCTTGGGAGGAAGTCCCTGGACAAAGTGCAGCTAATGGCTGTCATACTGTCATTTTTCTCACTGGATCCTTTGTGGATTCCAAAATGACCCTAAAAAAGGGTTTCACAGTGAAATTTAAAAACAATGGCTAACTTAGATTTCTTTTGCTTTAAGGTCTGGGTAACAGACAAGTCAGTATTGGTTGACACTCTTGTGGAATAGTCGTTAAAAGATCGATTGTTATATTCTGGGCTTTTCCTTTCAGTGAACCAGGTTGGTGTCACTAACCTGACTCACAGGAGGAGAGCAGTTCAGCCTTACACATCTTTGGGCTTTCTCAGTGTTTTAGTTGGTGGAAGTCAGGTGTCTTGAAGTCATGGATCCTTATTAAGATCCTAGATCATTATTTATTCATTTGTTTATTTTTAAAGGTGGGTCCTTGCTCTGCGGCCTAGGCTAGACTTTTGGTCCTCCTGTCCTAGCCTTCTGAGTGCTAGGATTACAGGTGTGCACCACCATACCCAGCTAGACCTAGAATTCTGTGGAAAACTCTTTCTTAGATAGAAGGAAAAGTGTGTGTGTGTGTGTGTGTGTGTGTGTGTATGCATGCATATACACACTTATGCACAAGCCACAACACTGATGTGGACATTAGAGAAGAAACCTTGTGACAGTCAATTCTTTCCTTCCATCATATGTGTTCCAGAAATTAAACTCGGGTCATCAGGTAAGGGAGCAAGCCATCTTGCCAGCCCAGTGTAGAAATTCTTTTAATATTACTTTAGGTTTTGTTTTTGTCAAGGGAATGCAAACCTGTTGGACCCATTTTCTGAATTTTCAGATTGCTTTCCCTTGTAAGAAAACTGTTTATCTGTCTCCCTTGTCCTCTCAAGCAAGAAAGGCAAACCAAACTGTTACTGGATTGTGAATGTTCAGACAATATAGCATGGGAGGACACTAGCTATAGGAGATGCCACACCAGTTTTTCCATCCTGGGTATGAGAGACACCTTGAATTTTTGAATTTTAGCTTTTAACGGTGAATCTTTTAAAAAGCTATTTTAGAATGTTGTTTCTGAGTCTTCCAAATGCCAGGTAAAATAACTCTCATTCTATGGCTGGTCCTGTTTGTAGGTCAGCTGTAGAGAAATTTCCTAGCATACTAAAGTATTTGGGGCTAATGTTCATCTGGAATGTTCTACATAAAAGTCCTTGAAATTCTCTATTGTATCACTTGTGTGTCAACATTAGCCACTTCCAGGCTGTCTAACCCTGAAAAGGGCAGATGTCCTAGAAAGTGAAGAAAAGATCTTTATAAATGTTGGGGTCCATTTTACACTGTATTTTGCTTCTTACAAAGAACAGATGAAACCCAAGTGTGATACCACACAGATGTTCGTGCAGCACTTCTTTGTGTACCTTATTGCACAGATATTTTCTTGAGTTTGATGGTGACCTTGTGCCAACCAGCCCTTCTGTAACAAGCTTACCCTATCAGCAGGACTGTATTTGTTGGCACAACTCTGGTGTGCTTTTGGGGCTACATGGGTCCTCTTTGTCCAGAAGGGCCAGTGAGCAGCCATGTAGTTAGGAGACTGGGACGTTATTGCGTTCTGAATGTGCCTACGTTTTTAGTAAGACCTAGAGTGTAAAGAACAGATAGTCTTGTATTCCAGGAGAGCTAGTCTTTAGTAAAGAGACTTACCTCCTCAAATGTTCTTATTAATTCTGATACAGGGAAAGCCATATAATTACAAAATTACAAGAGGAAACTGGGGTGTAACTTGCTGTGCCCTCTTTGACTCAGAGTGTCGATTTTATGGAGCATTTTCTGTTTCTTCACTGTGTATTGCCGGAGGAATGTAAGGATGCTTGCTTGTTAGCATCCTTAGTTGACATTGGCATTCAGCAAACCGGAAGATGCCTGGAGGTGTGCGGCTCCTCAGGGGCAGAGGGAGCTGTGAGTGTCAGTCTCTCAGGTTGTTTTCTCACTTTTCCTCTTTGCTACTACGTGGAGAAGTAACTACTGCTATTCTGGTCAATTTTAGCCAAAGACCTTAAAAAATCTATTGTTTAGTATTTATCAGAATTATAATAAGTGCTTTTCTACATTTTTTCTCTATGAGATGGACCACATAGAGCATTAAAATGTTCTCTGTATTCTTACATTTTGTTTTTGTAACTTAAATTTTAGTAGAGTGTTTGAGCCATTAGGAGATAAGAGCAGAAATGAAAGCCGTTACTTCAGTCTAAGTGTGTTGATATTTTCAGTGATGCATAGTTGATACATGAACATCTGAAGCTGTTTTGGGTATTATAAGCACATAAAGTGTGCAAGAGCATTTTTTCAGTGGGAAGGAATTATTTTACATTTGCTTTTCTCTTTTCTTATAGGAAGGAGCTTGAAGCCTTCAAAGGTAATTCTATGTTTAATTCTTCACTTCCAAATAGTTGAGAATCAATTGATGTCAGATGTTGTAGCTTGGTGATAAGGAAATGACTACTTCCCTTTCCTATAATGGGGTAGTTTATGTTAAAAAGCGGAAGTTGGCATAGTGCTGTTTGCGTAAGTTTTAGTCAATCACAGTAAGTTTCAAATTCTGGTTTAACTGTAGCACAGGTCCTGTATGAAAGTTTCTCCTAATAACCCTGGAAGAAATGCTAAGCAGGTGGAGTGCTAACTCGGAGCTGTTGAGCCTTAGGGTTCAGAAACTGGTCTGTGCTGTACATAGTCCATCTGGGTCACAGGAAGAGGAGACGGGAGGGAGCTCAGGATATGTCTATAGCCTCATAAACTTGCAAGAGTTTACTTTATAGAGCTGGGTTCTGTTCTTAGACTGTTTTGTGACTTTGATGAATCTTTTGACCTTTGGCTTGGTTTCTCCATCTGTAAAATTAGAGATTTTGATGAAACACTTTCTGAGATTCTGAAAAGCAAACCAGCGTTGCTTTTATCTAAGAGGAACTTTGTAAGGGGGACGTAGAGAACAATTCTTGGCATGTTGCCCATACTTGGTCATATTAGTTATTGTTTTCTGGCTGTGGGAAAGTGCTGTGACTAAGGCACATTATAGGAGGAAGGGTTATCTGGTTCCACAGGGAGAGTACGTAATGGCAGGGAGGCTTGGCAGTAGCAGTCTGGAGCAAGAAGCTGAGAGGTTGCATCTTTAACCACAGACATGAAGCAGAAAGCGAACTGAACGTGGTCAGTGATAGGATCGATTGATCAGGATCGATTGATCGAGGCCTGCTCTTAGTGATGTATTTCCTTCAGCAGAGCCGTCCGTGTCTTCTCAGACCTTGACAGACATTGCCACCAACTGCCTGGCTATGGAGGACATTTCTCATTCAAACCACCACACTGGTCATGGGGAAACTCTAGTAAAGAAACCCACAGACTTCTGGCAGAGTCCTTCCAGTATGCCCCTGTCTTTACTAATTCCATAGAAACTACGATTCTCAGAGACTCTTTACAAGAAATAGAAGAAGTAAATTATTATTGACTCTCCTGTGGTCTGCAACATGCTTGCTACAACTCACATAAGCTTGCACTGACCTACTAAATGAGTAAAGTTCTCCAGTATGTTGTTTATGGTTATATTGCCTGTGTGCCTCATTCGTTAGGAGTTTCAGAAAAATGGCTACTCTTCAAGACAAAGGTCTTAAAGGCTTACCCCTACTGTGGCTGTATTGAACAGACTCGGTTTTGTCTACATTTCTGTTTTACCCACTGTGTGACTAAGCTCATGGCCAGTTGTTGAAGATAATGCTCTGTGACCACATGATGGCATGTACTGTCACACTCTCATGGCTTGTACGGAACTGTGATCTCCTATTCATGGACATTATTTTTCACCAGTTGTTTGAATGAAATATTTGAAATCTTTATCAAATTCCTCTTTGCTTCTTGTTTGTTTTGATTGACCAGTTTAGAATTTCTTATATAATAAGGAGATGGAAAAAGCCCAGTCAAGCTAACAGTAAAAGACAAGCAGGCACACATGTTATATAAAGTGTCAGCTTTACTTGCATCTCCTGCTGAAGCATTTTGTTGTAGTGTGTTGTTCTCAGACACCAACTGTTTGCACAAGGTTAGCTAATATTACACATTGCTTGATAGAATAACTCAATTTAGGATGAAATATTTTGTTTATACACACATTTCTTTTTTTTAAGATTTATTTATTTATTATATGTAAGTACACTGTAGCTGTCTTCAGACACCCATATGAGGGCATCAGTCTCATTGTAGATGGTCGTGAGCCACCATGTGGTTGCTGGGATTTGAACTCATGACCGCTAGAAGAGCAGTCAGTGCTCTTAACCGCTGAGCCATCTCACCAGCCCTATACACACATTTCTAACTTTGTGCAACATCTACACCAGGTCTGTCCACAGAACAGTTGATGCTCTTGAATGTGATGAAACTCAAAGTTTGCATCATATGTAGGCTTTAAGTAATTTTTAAGAATCAGTCTTGTGTTGTGTGCAGTGGCATGCACCTACACTCCAGTGTGTTTAGGAGGCTGCGATAGGATAGTGAACCCTGAACTCTGGAGCACAGCAGCACCAGCCTGATCAGAAGATGGGGAGAGCCTGTCTTGAGAGAAGGGGTAGGGAAGGAAAGAAAAATGTTTGCATTTGAGTGTTTTGCCAGTACTTTAGAAGTACAACTAACCTATAAGAAGAAAATTAACTATTCTTCCAAAATATTAATGGGAAAAAGTTTTTTTTAAGATTTATTTATTTTTTTATTTATATGAGTACACGCTGCAGCTATCTTCAGACACGTACTAGAAGAGTGCATCAAATCACATTACAGATGGTTGTGAGCCACCATGTGGTTCCTGGGAATTGAACTCAGGACCTCTTTATTAACAGTAGAGAAAGGATGGAATTTTTTTTCAGAGCTAGAGTTTGTTACTAAGAACTGGACAAAGGGTCTTTATACATGCTAGAAAAGTATTCTCCTTCTGAACTCCGCCCTATCCCTCTGTAATTATGTACTTTAAAACAGTCTGACTAAATTAGCTAGGCTTGCCTCAAAATGCATGTGCCTCCTGTCTCATAGCTGCAATGATAGGTGTATGCTACCATATCCAGCAAGAATAGGATTTCATTTAATTTTTTAAAGAGATTGTCTTACTATGGTGAGTAGACCAGGCTGGCCATGAATTCACAGAGATCTATCTGCCTCTACCTCCTCAGTGATGGGATTAAAGGCACTTAGCAGTGTGCCTGTTATTTTTATTATTATTTTTGTGTGTGTGCATGTGGTGTGTGAGGCTGTGTGTGTGGAGGCCGGAGCACAGCTCTGTGGAGTCTGTTCACTCTCTACCTTTACATGGGCCCCAGGGATCAAACTCAGGTACTTAGGCAAATTTTATTTTTATGAAACAATATTTTGGTAGCATGAATGTATATATATCATGTGCAGTGCTCACAGAGGTCAGAAGAGGGTGTTGTGTCCTCTGGAACTGGAGTTCCAGGAGGCAGTGAGCTGCCATGTAGCTAACACTCCAGGTCCTCTGTTACAGCAGCAAGTGCACTGAATTGCTGAGCCATCTCTTCAGCCCCTAGTTGTAAAAGTAGGCTGTTATTCCATGTATAAATCTTAAAAATTACTCTTAAAATTGTAAGTCTAAAAATGTGTCACTGCAAAGGAACAAAAATTTACAGTTAGATATTCCTATCTAATTGTATAATACTTGACTTTACATGGTTTTGTATATTACATTTGCCCTTTTACCTTTGGCAAAGCAACCACCAGACCCTTTTCTCTAGAAAACATGCCACCTGGTACCTGTTCTTGTTGACTGCTTAGAGGAGGCCCGGGAAGGAGGATAATAAGGACATTGAGAAAGGGAGAGAATGCTGGCAAGAACACAGGGATGTTTATTTCAAGAATTGAAACTAAAGTTTGAATTTCTTGTTCATTGAAAGAACTACAAATAATTTGTCATCACCGAAGCATATGATGTGTGGGAAGACGTGAGGGACAGAGTTGCACACTGGGGAGCAAGTGGTACACGACAGCCTTCATGTCACGCACAGGGCTGTGCAGTGAGACCAGTGATCTCCGCAAAGGGATGTGAGTGCAAAACATTGGGAACAGGGAGGAAGGCGTGTGTGTGTGTGTGTGTGTGTGTGTGTGTGTGTGTACACGTGCATGCTCTCGCGTGTCCTCCCCCCCCCACGCTCGCACGCACCTACCAGAGTAGCCCACCTGTGGACTCTCTTCCTCCCACCTTGTGAGTACTGAACTCGGGTCCTCAGGCTTGTTGGCTAGCGTCTTTACTTGATTAACCTTGTTCCTGACTTCTAGAACTTGTCCATTTTTCCTTCTTTCTGTGATCTTTTTAAATGTTAATTTTGTATGCTGTTTGGTTTTGAGGCAGTCTTTCATGTAGTTCAGGCTGGCCTTGAGCTGTATGGCTGTAGATGCCTCTGAGTTTCTGCACCTCCTGCCTCACTCTCAGTGCTAGGATTACAGGTGTGTACCACCATGCCAGGTTTCTGTGATGCTGGAGATCAAACCCAGGGCTGTGTGCATGCTAAAGCAAGAACTCTACAAACTGAACCATATTCTCAGTACCAATGGCTGTATTGTAATAAAATTATATATAGGAATTGATTTATGTAATATGTACATAATCAAATTTGAAAGGTCTATGTTAAAGATTTTTGTTCCTTACGGGAGTGTGTGCTCAAGGGAGCGTAGAGGTGCGTCTGAGGGAGGCACGTCAGAGAGTTGGTGAGCCCAAGGAGTTCCAGTCAGAACTCACAGGATCAGGTCTGCTTTGTATTTTCTGGGATCTCATAGGAGGGTAGGGTGGAGAAGAGCAGATCCCAGATCCAAGATTCAAGAGCTTAGGTGAGCTGCATATGCTGACATGTGCCTATATTCTCTTCTCTCTCGGATGCTGAGGTAAGAGGATGCTTGAGTCCATGAGTACCAGTATGGCATCATAGCAAGAACCTGTCTCAAATTAACGACACAACAAAACTGAGGCTAAAGGAAAAAGAGAGAGTGGGAGAGAGAGTTAGGTTAAAGGAAGAATTTTTTGTTTAATGTATTTGCCTAAAAGGGGAAAAGAGATGGTAGAAAGGTTGATTGAAGGAGAGCGACAGAGAGAGTGTTTGGGGTCTGCAGTTCTGAAGCAGGGTACAGCTGCCAGTTACTGTAACTATCAGAATTGTGACATTGAAGGACTGTTGTACATGCCAGGCCACTGGCTAGTGTTACCGAATTCAGGGAGCCTTTACTGAAACTACATTTAAACGCTATGGGGGAAATGTAAAGATGCCTATGGATTATAAAGCAAACCTGTCCTTTATTTAATTTGTGCACCTTCCGACATTAATGTGTCTTGTGCTGTTTACATGTTTCTAATGCATCTTCACACCTAGATGTCAA